CACCATAGATTATAATGAACATCTGCACTGCACATGATCACATCTATGACGAAATTGAAAAGATTACATGATAATGGGGTGATTATATGATACGAAGATTCAACTTGTCTGAAGCCTCGTATGGTATAAAAGACTCGGAAAGACTGGATCCTATCTTGATGGAGGTATGTGTGCTGCTTAATGTTATTTTGCAGAGTCGTATTAACTTTGCAGGGATATCGAGTTCATACATTGCGACAAAAAGATGATGCGAATCTTTGTTGTCTTCGTAGGTGTTTGTCAGGATTTCTTGCAGTATAAATATCTGGTTAATTGTGGAGAGACCAGACCGAAAATCCCACTGATACGGCACAATCAATGAGTTGACATTTGAAGAGGTCTTTTACGCGATAGGTTTTAGCCTAATAAGGCAGAAACATATTTCAAATCTTGAAAACCATGTAAATCCGCTGGCTAGACCTCTTGCTAATATGTCAACTTCTTGTATACTGAAACGGAATGATAGACCCGCCATCCTGCTTTCCTAAAGATCACTCTGATTAATTTAACTTTTATGCCGTTATATCTGGTAAATAAACCCTGGCTAGTTATTCGGAGACCCCTTAAAATAATTTACAATTCATTTTATAATTCATTATAGTATGTTTACATATAAAATAATTTGTAATGTAATGTCATTAGTCTTTAAGATTCTAAAACTAAGTGTTAGGCTTTAATTCAAAGCGGTGCAATAAAAGCTTATTGTTTAAAAAATAAAATTAAAAGGTTTTAGCCTGTTCTCCCAATACTTCTTCTTCTTACTTCTACTCTTAAAAAATGACGTCTTATAAAACTTAACCAATTGAAAATTAAAAAAAAATTTTTTTTTTAATTATATTTAATTGTTTTATATATTTTAAATTATTTATATATATTTTAAATTATTTATATATATTTTTATATGCATATAATCTTATATATTTTAATAAATAGGGCACGAAAAGATTTTCTGGTTTTTTTAAACCATTTCAAAATATTTTCAAAAGCTCTTAAACAAACTACAGCACAACATAAATTGTTTATTTAATTCTACTTTTTAATGAATTGTGGTGAAGGCATTTTTGATATACATTTTTTCCGGTTTTCCTGATAATTTAACAGTTTTTGATAAGAAGTAAGCAGAACTTGGTGTTTGTGGTTAAGCCACTGCAAATAGCAAATTTGCAGTGTAGCAAATAACATTGCCGATTGCTTGCTTGTTGCCCTATCCCAGCTACTCACAAATATCCTCCAACGAGGCTCAGGATTTTGAACTAAAATCTAACCATAACTGCTTTGAACTCATAAATTTGCTTCATAAATTGTTTTGTTAAAATGTATCTCTTTAACTGTTAAATCCTTTATTTTTGCTTATTTTTATAAACAATTTTTTTTTATTTATTTATTTTGCTGCTTATTTATTTTGTGCTATGCGCCTACTTAAACATAATCGTACTTGACATTAACTCTCATATATCTAATATTATTATTTTTTTGTCTACTAATTTTCCGCCCTACCCCCAACTTTGTAGAAGAGTCTTATGGATGCGGCTATACAAAAAAATACTAACGATGAACTAAAAACCTTACAACTTAAATTGGAAATTATGGAAGCTGAACTGCATAAGGCGATTGCACGTGCCGAACTTGCCGAAAATGAACTAGGAAAGTACAAAACAAAAGTTGAACCAACTGTGCTACTAGCGCCACCACCACCACCTCCGCCGCCACCACCACCACCTATGCCTGCTACTTTGCTTTATAAGCCTCCAACTAGTTACTTGCATGCAAATCGTTTTACGAATTTAGATGGTGATGGTGAAGGTGAAGGTGTGGGTGACGGTGACGGTGGGGCAGCTGGTTCATTCAGCGACAGAATTGCGTCGCACACTTTTCTACAACAACGAAATTGTGGTGATAAAATAATTGGTACTGTTAAGCAACAAGTGCAACCAGAAGCTGCAACAGGTAGGTGCCTTCATACAAATACAATACACAGCGCACAACATAGAACATTTAGACATCAAGCATGGTATCAAACATGCATCAAACATGCAACTCAAACCACTCACACTCACACATAAACAAATAAAATTTATTTACTTTTACTTAAAGTAAAAAGCATTAGAAATTAAGAGTCAAAAATAAAAGCAAAGAGAAACTCGCACAAATTTCGTTCATAAAGCAAAGGTACTTGACAAACAACAAATCATACAAACAACAAATACACGATTTGTTGTGCTTTTTATTTGTAGTGTACACAGTGTTTCGTGCAGTTTGGTTTAAATTTTTAATGAATTTGCGTTAACGTCTTTTCCTTGCCTTTAAATTGAGCCATTTTATTTTGTAAACATAAATATTTGTTTTAAGTTTTGGAAGTCGTCGTCTTTAATAATTTGGTGTTTGGTGTTTGGTGTCTTTTAATAAATAAAACAATTTTTATTTTGCAAATAATAGTAGTTTATATGGATTAAATTAACATTAAGTAGGAATTATTTCCTCTCTTCAACTATTTGTTAATATTAACATTGTTAATATTATAATAATATTATATAATAATATAATATATAATATATATAATAATATAATATTATATATTATAATATAATAATATTATAAGTCTTATATATGATATATAATATATACATACATACATATATATACATTATATATATACATAAGGGTCAGAGCCCTGAAGCTATATGCGAAAACCGACAGGCTGCCCTACTTAGCACTAACTAATCTCAGTGTAATCATCAACCGCACGGGGCGGTACACAGAACTCAGTCATTGAATAATCACAAAACTTATGAGGAATACACAAATTAGTCAGTGAGATGGGACACTACAGAAACCCCCCAGTTATCAAAGAGTAAAAGTGCTCAGATGCACAAACTCGGAAAAGGCTCAACATAATAATATATATTTCTGTCAAAAATATATTTAAAAACTACTTATTACATTGTAACTAATCAGTGATAATGTAATATTTTTTAGAACAATGTAACAGGAAAACAAATGTTGTTGTTTTCACTGGGAACTGCTTGTGAAGTCCCTTTGGGAGGTAGCGTCGATGGCGACGAGTGGCTCCGGGACGTACACCCGGCCGTTCTTTGACCCCAGGACATAAAATGAAATCTACTAGCTTCAAGATTTGATAAATAGTTTTTGGTTTCCAAAGAAAAGATTCAATAAATTTTTTCCATTAAATGTAGTTGTAAAAAATTTAATCTAGTATAAAAAAAAACAATGGAAAAATTCAATAAATTTTTTCCATTAGATGTAGTTGTTAAAAATGTAATCTAGTATAAAATAAAAAACATTATGAACAAGTTTAAGTTTAACAACATTTAAAAGTGCATCTTATTCAAAGTTATAACATTAATCTAAAATCGTCTCAAAGACATAATTATTTTTCCAAAACAAATAGAACTTTTATATCATCAACCAGGTTGTCCTTTCATCTTCAAATACTTCTTTCCGAAAAAGTAAAAGTCAAACGGTATCAAATCAAGTGAATAAAGTTAGAAGCCCATCTTATTGTCAATAACTGTGATTGCCAATATATGTGATTACTAATACCGGGTGTATGTATGCAAGTTTCGTTTAATAAAGAAAACATAATTTTCAAGGGAAATTTGTTTTTTTTTATTTAAAATATTAGTCATCAGTTTCCACAAATTTCGCCAATCTTTCAGGTAATTTATTAATACTATGTTAGAAATTGCTCCTCTTTTGCGACAAGCCAGTCGTCGAGTTTTTTTTTATCAATTTTCTCAATTTTTCTCATCCTATGTGCTTTTCCAGCCTACCAATCGAACATAGGTTCCAACCCAGGGAGGGTAACATCAACTTGCTCTAGCTCCCCTAATTTCAGCTTTGCTAATCAACGTGCAGCACGAGATGTCCTAGCTCAATTTAAATCAGGATATGGGCAGAATATGAATGTCACGCATAAATTCTGAATGTGTGCCATAACTACAGTTCTACCCTAATATTGTCGCCTATCTATTTTTCTGCCCCAATGCACACACAAACTTCAGTCCAATCAATTTTTGAGTTCGCTCCATTAAAGTAGCTAAATTTCTCGCCTATCCATTCACACTCCTAAACAACCAATCCCCTATATACATCCTAATCCATGTATACGGTTTTGTTATTGCTTCCATGTTATCTGCTTTACAGATCCTGCGTTCACAAGCGCAATATATAAAGAATTGCATTTTTATTCTTTTCAATCTTAATACTATCTTGATCTTGCTTTTACCAATTACTACCATTTTGCATGCTTAAAATGAATGCTCCAGGTAAAAGGATTTGGATTTGGATTTGATAATGAAGTAAATGTCAAAACTAAAGTCTCTTATTAAGGGAAAGTGTGGGAAAGAATGCATCACTCTTAAAGGAGATTATATTACTGAATGCAGTTGAGTTCCTTTATTAAGCACCCTACGAACTTACTGATTTAAAGAAAAATTTTAGTTCTAATAAATTCTAAACTAGTAATTTATTCTTTAGTAGTTAAATAAAATGTAAAATAATTTATTTAAAATTTATTTATAAGCAATTTAAAATTTATGTCTTAGATATTCGAATTTATTTTAGCAAGATATATTCGTTTGAATTTTTGACTTAAATATGAATCAAAGTAACGACAATTTCTGACATTTATGGAAAAGTG